CGGAGTCTTTCCATCCTTGCCTCTAAGGAGCCTTACGGGTGTACTTCTTCCGAAGTAGGTCTGTTTGTTCTTTTGGCTGTCCATGGTACTTTCAGTATTCTTCACCAGTACCAGAGTTACTGATGTGGTTACGAGCAATAACCAGACTAAAAGAAAAAAAGAGGCTAAGAGAACATTCCATCCGAGCCCTCCACAGTGTGATTACTGCTGGTCCCCCCACCGCGGAGTAGCAGGAACCCGTGTGAAATGTGGATATGTCCAAGGGCCCTTGAGGACAAGTGTTAGGATGGTCACTTCGCAGTCACACGCTGAAGTTATGCACCAAGAAGGTGGTCTCAGAGGACAAGAGGCTGTGTAGATACACCTGTGCCTCAGGGCAGTCCCGAGGTTGTGCTTAAACATGACAAAACCAAGACAGCAGTGCCATTGCATTCACAGTGAGAGGCTCCGCTGCTGACCAAAAGGTTTGAGGTTTGAGACCATCCAGAAGGGCCTTGGAAGGAAGCCCTGGTGATCGTCTTCCAAGGAATCAGCCGCGGACTCCCCCCCCCCCACAGCCCAGTTCTCCTCTAACGCCCTCAGGGCTGCCATGCTTACATCGTCAGAGAGCATCCAACAAAGGGAATGATGGAGACGCCCCCACTCATTCTCAACCAGGGACAACTTTCATGCAGGGTCTGTGATGAAGAGAAGTCCCTGGGTGTGGGTCTTCTGTCCATGCTTCGGTGGAGCCCTCATCGTCCATACTGTGGGCATGTTGTCGGGAGAGACCAGTCCCTGGAGAAGGACATCATGCTTGGTGAAATGGAGGGGCAGTGAAAAAGAGGAAGACCCTCAAGAAGTGGATGGACACCGTGGCTGCATCGATGGGGTCAGGCGTGGAATCAAGCGGGAGGATGGCGCAGGACCCGGCACTGTTGAGGTCTGTTGTGCCTAAGGTCACGATGGGTTGGGAATGACTAGGTGGCACCCAACAACAGCGACAGCTCAGAAGCAGGAGGACGGAGAATCCCATGACCACCAGGAAAGAAAAGCCACCAACAGCGTGCGTGCAAGATCTGTGTGTGCAGTGGTGGGAGCAGCAGAAACACCAGAGACTACAGCCCTGAGACCAGGAGGTAAAGCGGAGTAGCCGTGTCAAGACCATGAGGCAGGGTGCTCGGCTTCCCAGCCTATGGAGGCAGAGGCCAAGGGCCCACCTGACTGAGAGGTCAAGGACCAGAGCAAGACATGCCTGCCAGCATGGCTGAGAAGAGGTGTTTGGGACCAAAGAACTGTACCCTTCACTTTCCCAAACAAGGCATTCCTTCCCCAGGGATTGGTCCCTCCTGAGAACATGTCCAAAGCACATGAGACAAAGTCTCGCCATCCTTACTTCTAAGGACCATGGTGGATGTCCTTCTCCCAAGACAGACTTATTGGTTCCTTTGGCGGTCCATGATACTTTCAGAATGCTTAGCCAGCACCCTAGTGGCTACCATAGTGCCCAGCAGTGAGCAGAGTACAGGAACTAAGGGGGCTGGATTCGGGAAGCTATCTCAGAGGGCTATTACCATACCTGTCAGCTTCCCTAATCAACCTCAGAAGTGTGAATGTTGTCGGGGAGTTTTGTGTGGCCATGAAATGAATTACCAAGAGAAGTAGAGTGCCTTGGGAAGGATGGGTGACATCGGAATAAGGTACAGAAGGATGGAGGGTAGAGGCCCGTCTGACATCAGCCTTAGGCTGGTGTGGAGGCTGATTCTGCTTCTCCTTTGTGTAGCCAGGGGAGGTCAGACAGGGGAGCGCTCATCAGTTATCCCTGCAGAACCCCAACGCTCATTCCCAACCTTGCTTCAATATGTATGCATATGTATATGTATATTGACTATAAACAAAGCACATCAGTTCCATCGCCCACTATCCTCTTAATAGCTGGGCTTGGATGGATGGATGGACCCCTATCTTTCTCATCAGAATTAACAGTCTTGGTTTTTATTAGAAGTGCCCTAATCACACCAGCTGTGTCACAGGGATCGAAATTGGGGAGCTCAGACGAGCTGCCTCAATTTCAGAGTCTCGAGGAAACTGACAAGCCCAAGGCAGTGGGTGGAGGCCTCATCACTGCCAGCATCTCCTGGGGCTGAGCGTTCACCTGGTGTTGGCAGTGGGATCACACGCAGAACGAGGGCGGGGGCAGGGCTTTCTCTTTACTGGGTCCCTTTTTGTTCAGCGTTTGCCCGGCGATGCACATTCTGCAGGGACAAAGTCCGCCAACGCCAACGCCCTCTCTGGATAAGCGACTTCTGTTCTACCGCTTATCCCTGGGGCTGTCCACGCCGGAGACACAAAGAGAGCGACCCAGTCTCCTTACTCCTACAGCGACATATTTTTAAAAAATAAGAATAGGTTATTATGGAGACAAATTGCTGCCTGTCGCCCTTGCGTTCTAGCAGGCAGCGGGGAAAACAGGGTGTGTTCAGCTTTCCAAGCCTCCTCTGCCTCCCCCAGAAGACTCCATCCGTGATAGCCACCATTCTTGACCTTTGGGCGCACGTGCTAACAAAAGGCATATTTACCACAGATGAGCATGTGTCTCGGCCCAGGCTATCCTGATCAGCCCTCACCAAATGGCGCTGAGGGTTCTCTGCTAGGGGAGAGATGATGCCTCATCCTCCCCAGTCTGCCTCGTTCTGGGCTAGGGGGTCATAGGCCCCCACAGTGAGCCTGAAGTTCATGGGATGCTCTTCTCCTTCGGGAAGCTGATGGATATGAGCTGGTAGCTAATCCCGTGTCCCTCCATCCCCCCACCCACCATGCTCTCCCTCCTGCCCCTTTTCCTGACTCTCAGTTGCCCCTCTTTTGACATTCCTTCTCCTGACACATCTTTTCTCTCCCCCGTTACAGATACCAACACCCCACACTTTCTTCTTCCCCTTTTCTCTTCATTCAACTCAAAGACCTTCTCCCTAGCAAAGGAAGCTGCTCTGGACCCAGCTGGGGCCACCATATTGTTTCCAGTGTGGCCTCCCCTGACCGCGCCAGCTCTGCTCAGACCACCGTCAAGAGTCTGTTTACTTTCCGTGTGCATCTGTGCGTACTGGCTGGTTTTAAAAAAATAAAGTATCTTTGCTGTTGTGCTCACAAACAGCAGGGCAAGGACCCTGCCCAAACATCTTCTCTCTTATTTATTGTTTCCAACAAATATCTCTGGATGTTTGGGGTGATCAACTGCTGCGTAAATCACACTTTAACTGAACTGAACTCCAGCTGTCTGTGTGCTGGCAGACGAGCGTCGGTGATAAGGAAGCAGAATCCATCACTGGGGTCCACACACTCCGTTACCCATCAGGAACACTCCCAGCAGGAAATGACACTTCCGCACTCTCCTCAGTCCCGCCTACCCAGAGCGGTGGGAATAATCCCAAATAACGCAACCCTTGAGTTCCTACCTGATCCTCGCAGGAGAGTGAGCCCCCACAGCTGCAAACGCAGTCTACACGGCTGGGAGCTCCATCACATGGGAGGGGGCTTCAAAGCATTGGGGAACAAGTGGAATGAGAAGCTATCAGATTTTCCCCATGAACTCTTGGAAGCCCCCTCTCATAGCCATGGTCAAGCCTGGAGTGCCAGCACCCTAATCGGATCATGGGCCGTTCCTCCTGAGCATGCCAGAAACAGAGGGGCTCCCTTCAGATCGGAGCCCAAGGGGAGAGCGCACGGCCTTGCTGCCAGTACCCTGGGTCCCCCATGATTTGTCCACGTTTTTTTTTACCCCAGCAGCATCTCTTTGTTTTGGATGAATTTTCTCATTCTGTTTTTGTCTCTCTCTTTTTAATTATAATGTTTTAGGTGTCTTCTAGTCTACCTTCTCTTTTTTCTCTTTTTTAGTTTCCCTTCCCCCAAGTTGACCTATGTCAACCCTTTAGTTAGGGATTTACCCTCCCTTCTCCTCCCCTCCCACCGCTGACACCCAGCCAAGAATG